TAACCATTAGCTCATGAAAAACTGAGGTCATTTAGGAAGCTATCTGCTGCTGGTTAAGATAGTAATTATTTATAAATGTAACACAGAAGCACACTTCAAAAACAACAAAAAAATTAAATTCTTAGAAAAAGGCACATGTTTGCTCCTGTACACCTTTATGCAAATCTTATAAAATGCTACATTTTCCCCCAAAATAGTACATTTCTTGACACTAACTCTTTCTATAAAATGATCCAAAAAAGGTGACTCAATTCTAATTATTGTGGTCCCCGATCTTCTCTGAAGGTATTCGAGTGTCCAAGGTGGTTTCAAGCTATAGATTTTGTTAATGGTAAAACATGTTGCAGAGGAGAGTTTTTGGCACCGTCTCAAAACACAGTTGGCTGGATAAGAGAGGGAGGCACCATGCTGACTGGATCATTGCTGCCGCTTGCTATGGGGTAGAGCATCACGCTGAGTGGAGGAAAATCTGCAGTGACTGTCTGCTCTCTAATGATCCTGCGGTAGGGTATGTGAAAACACACTTGCTGGTGGCGACTGTGTTTCTGCAGCATTGTCCACGTGCAGAATCTGTCGTAAACAGAAGAGAACACGACAGGTGAAACAAAACTGCAATGTGTCCTGCCAATTAGCAGGAATAAGTTGCAAGGATATGCTTGGCTCCAAATCTGCATGTGCAAAAGATTCATTTTTTTTCACTTATCACATTCCGCATGTGCTCAGCTGTTGGGAAATGATGTGACAAAAATAGATTTCCTGATAAAACATTCAAATGCATTGAGCTGCTATTTATAGCTCTCTCTAGACCCCAGAATCAGATTACTTGTGGTTTAATCCCAACAATATTTCCCTCATAAGGTATGCATGTGTGTGCAGATAAAGCCTTTACAGTATTGTTACTGTAACCGACTCATTCTATAATCAAATTCATCTAATTAGATGAGCTGACTTACAGTCACAAGATTGAGATGTGCCGTAATATGCGTTAAGGTTCTGCTTTCAAATGTGTGTCACAGGAGTTAATGCATATTTTATGATATAGACTGAAAGCATGGACAGATTGAGAGCTTGCTCTGAATGGAGGCTGCAGCCAAATATAAGACTTTCCAGAAACATTGATAAAAACTAAGGGGCTAGTTCATATATGGGCTTTCTCCCAGTTGGCTCTTTTCTTTGTTAAAAAGAAAAAACACAAATTTAGTCTGGAGGTGAACTTACACTGATTAAAGATGGGGGGAAAAATCAAACTTTGTCCACAAATTCGTTAGAAAACTGAAATTACAAAGAACACAAGATAGCAGATTGGCTTTTTATGGCAGCTTAATAGAGAACAGAAGGAGATCAGTGAGAATGATGATGCAGTAAATGTTTTCCTGACTCTTAACAAGATGGGAGAAAATTAGAAGAAATAAGTTGTCTCTGGTTCGTTTAACCAGTGGTGTTATCAACATATTGGGCTTTCTTTCTTTCTTTCTTTCTTTCTTTCTTTCTTTCTTTCTTTCTTTCTTTCTTTCTTTCTTTCTTTCTTTCTTTCTTTCTTTCTTTCTTTCTTTCTTTCTTTCTTTCTTTCTTTCTTTCTTTCTTTCTTTCTTTCTTTCTTTCTTTCTTTCTTTCTTTCTTTCTTTCTTTCTTTCTTTCTTTCTTTCTTTCTTTCTTTCTTTCTTTCTTTCTTTCTTTCTTTCTTTCTTTCTTTCTTTCTTTCTTTCTTGAACATGCATGCAAATCAATAGACAACCCAAAGCATTCAAAAAGTATCCAAAAAGAAACCCACACATATGTATATGCATATATATATATATATATATATATATATATATATATATATATATATATATATATATATATATGTATATCATGTTCAATGGGAAGGGAACGAAGCTCTGGTAGCTTATATAATCCCCCCCAAATCAAATTTCAAGAAAGATAAAACAAAAAATATATATATTTTCCCTACACTGAGTGTCATTGCCATTTTCCTATAACATGTTTTATCCTCAATCACACAAACAAAATTTACATTTTCTCATGTTTCACCCCCCCCCCCCCCCTCCCCCCGCCATGTTCACAGCTCCCAGTTCACCAACAATAGACAATTACAATCAAATGCAACACCCTTACAACTTTTCCTCCTCCTCCATGTAATTGATAGTATAATTTTTTTATACTTCTCTTTAAACTTATGCAATGAGGGACTTTGCTTTAGATCCTCACCTAGCTTATTCCAAACTCTTACACCCGTAACAGAAATACAAAATGACTTTATTGTTGTTCTAAAATATGTATGCCTAAAGTTAAGTTTGTATCTGAAATTATATACGTTATCTGGTTTTATAAATAACATTAATAATTTGTTTGGTAATAATTTCCTATGCACTTTAAACATGAATGTTGCTGTATATAGCTGAATTTAATCTTTAAATTTTAGTATTTTAGAATATATAAATAACGGATTAGTGTGTTCTCTAAATCTAACATTGTGAACGACTCTCAGGGCTCTTTTCTGTATGATAGACAAGGGTACAATAGATGTTTTATAAGTGTTACCCCATACCTCTACACAGTAAATAAGATAGGGATAAATCAATGAATAATTAAGGACATGGAGTGATTTATAATCCAAGTACTGCCGAGCTTTATTCATAATGTAGATGCTTCTCGCAACCTTATTATATACATGTTTAATTTGTGGTTTCCAACTTAATTTATTATCAATTACTATTCCAAGGAACTTATGTTCTGTTACTTGCTCAATTTCACATCCGTTTGCAGCTTAACCTCAGTTTTATTAGCCATACCAAACAACATACATTTTGTTTTTGCTATATTTAATGTAAGCTTATTTTCAATAAACCACTCTTTAATGACGCACATTTCAATTTGGACCATCCTTTCTAACTCGCTAATATTATCTCCTGCACAGAAAATAGTGGTATCATCAGCAAACAAAACAAATGTCAGTGTATTTGTTACATTACTCAAATCATTAATATATAATAAAAATAATTTTGGACCCAACACAGACCCCTGTGGTACTCCACAAACAATGTCCAACCATGTAGATGAACATTCTCCAAATTTCACAAACTGTCTCCTCTGTTGTAGATAGCTTGTCAACCAGCTCAACACTACACCCCTAATCCCATACCTCTCTACCTTTTCAAGTAACATTTTATGATTAACTGTATCAAAAGCCTTTTTTAAATGAATAAATATCCCTAGAACATGTTTCTTCTGATCAATTGACGCTGTAATTTTTTTCCACAGAATGCACCAGAGCTAGTGATGTTGAACTATTCGGTCTAAATCCATACTGACAGTCTGAAATTATCTTGTATTTATCCCAAAATATTTCGAGTCGATTATTAAACAATTTTTCAAGAATCTTGGAAAATTGTGGAAGCAATGAAATTGGCCTATAGTTCGTAAATTGATGCTTATACCCAGTTTTATATATTGGTATAACTTTTGCAACTTTCATTAATTTTGGGAATACACCTGATTGAAAAGACAAATTGCAAATATATGCAAGTGGTTTTGAAATTCCTTCTATCACCTTTTTTACCGTCATCATGTCAATGCCATGACTGTCAGTTGATGTTTTACCTTTACCTTTACCTGTGCAAAGACACAGCAAATCCTTGCATGGTAAACCTAAAGGGTATTAAATATGTGTTGTTCTTTTTCCCCATTCATTATTGGACATACATTGGAAAAAAAACCCTGTCATTTTAACTCATTCACTGCCAGCCGTTTCCTGATCACTAACGGCCTTCGCTGCCAGCGTTTCTCACCGTTTTTACTGTTTTTTAAGAGTCACAGAACGTTGCGCGCTAGCATGATGTCGATGCCAAAACAACCTAAACAAAGAGGAGACTCACCTCTTACATCAAGAAGAAGCCGTGTGTTTCGAGCGTTATCCGTTCTTTCATAATCCGTTGTCGAATTGTGATCGGCAGACGCTTCTCCGGTTCGCGCCTCACTTTTTTTACAGGAATGGCCCAAAACGATCTCCAAACACATGGATGGTCTGCTTCCTGATCATGTGATCTGTGACGTATGCGGATGAAGATCAGCTTCAGGGTTGAGATGTTTGTTCTCAGCGCGGGGGCTCGTTCCAATGGTCAGACAGTAAAAAAAATGCAAATGACGACTTTAGTTGTCATTGGCAGTGAACGGTTGGATCTAAAATGACGACTTTAGTCGTCAATGGCAATGAATGAGTTAAAGAGGATATATTCTGCGAAACTCGCCTCTTGTGCTGTCATGTGGGTCTCTTATGTCTCTATAAACTCTGAATGAGAAAAGTCCATCCATCTATTTTCTGTCAGTGTTTCGTTTTAGGATTTATGTACCAGAAACAAGCCATATTAAAAAGACCAGAACCACCTCTCATGTGCAAGAGAGAGCTGCTGCTGGAGGATCAGTGGCTCTACTCTGAGCCCCTCCCAGAGCTTCTCAGCTTATAGTAGCCTGACCATGGGATAGGTGTCTGCTTAGAAACACAATTTGACCCATTCATATTCACACCTCAAGTCTACTTGTTCAGTGATGCTGAAGCCTTAAAATATGTCCAAAATAAATGAAATGTTTCCATTTTTAAGAAGTGACCTTAAAAAAAATCAATGTCAACCAATCTTCCCAGGTGTTATGTAATCCATGTCAAAGGTTACACCTGAATGCATGACAGATGATGCACAAACACAAAGCATGGACGAGAGGAGCTGGCCCTTCTGTTTGTCCCATCGGGACTTTTGTTTGTAAAATCAAAGCAGACACGTGTTTGTTGTGTTAATGTCAGCTGAGGTGGAGTAGAAACAGAAGCTCAAACCCATGTTAATTGGATTTCAGAGGAAGTGAGGCAGCCAAGTGCTTTGAAATGTTTGAACTGCGGCTCTTTTTTTTTCCCCTCTGAAATTTGAGCTTGTAATGTTTAGGTGATGGCTTCGATTTTAAGTTTCTGTGCTTTGATTATACTAAAGTACGTCTTTTCTTCTTCTCAGCGTGCCATAGAGTCCCTGAATCGAGGAGTGAGGCCTGTTGGAGACACAAACTCCAGTTACTGGGACATGAGCAGTTCCTTCTTCTTCGCTGGAACTGTCATCACAACCATCGGTAAAATGTTTGGACTTTAGCTCTGCTTCTAAAGCTAGTACAATTATGCAAAGCATAATAAAATGTATGCATTTCATCAAATGTTTGTGTTCCTGACTTCTTCATTGTATCTAATTGTATCAGCAGGTTACCATAGCGTCATTATTAATTTAATTGTCTTTAAGGGGAACCTAATTATAGTCTCTGTTGGAGCCTTTCCATGCACTAAAAGCTATTACATAAGAGCCTCAATTGATTTTTTTGCTTAATGAGGTCCTGATTGACATTATCTTCCCATCATTTTACTCTCTATTTCCTCTTTGGAGTTTTGTTTTTTGGTTCATTCTTTTATTTTCTTCCTTTCTACATTGTTTCCACAGGTTATGGAAACATAGCTCCAAGCACAGAAGGCGGGAAAATCTTTTGCATTCTTTATGCCATATTTGGCATCCCTCTCTTTGGCTTCCTGTTGGCGGGCGTTGGAGACCAGCTGGGGACCATCTTTGTGAAAAGCATTTTGCGAGTTGAGAAGATATTCAGGGTGAGTTAGAAGCCCTAGATAGCGTTATTTTGTTTCTGTTTATGTGCTGTGGAGGTTTTGAGGTTCATGTGCTGTTGAATGAGTGTGACAATACACTGTAAAACATTCTGGATGGAAATATTGTAACAATATTCACACTAAAGAAAAAGCTCAATTTTTTAAAAATTGTGTATTATTAATGTTCTTTTCTCAGCAAAAACACAAACAGATCAGCCAAACGAAGATAAGAGTGACATCCATCATCCTGTTCATCCTGGCTGGCTGCATCGTCTTCGTCACCATCCCTGCTGTCATCTTCAAATACATCGAGAGCTGGACCACACTGGATGCCATTTACTTTGTTGTGATCACCCTCACCACTGTGGGAATAGGAGATTATGTGGCAGGTAGCTATTTCTAACAAAAACATTTCAATCTCTGTTTTGTTTGGATTGCCTGATTCAGAAGGTATATTTCTTCTTCTAACAGGTGACAGTCGGAGTATCGAGTATATGAGCTGGTACAAGCCAATGGTTTGGTTCTGGATCCTAGTCGGTTTGGCATACTTTGCTGCTGTCCTCAGCATGATTGGAGACTGGTTTCGAGTGCTATCAAAAAAGACCAAAGAAGAGGTGGGGTGTGATTACATTACCAAGTGTTACATTAGAAGTGTGGGAGGGCTTCTGTCCTATCAGTTTTTTTTAAATAGTCAAAAACTTGTGATTTTATGCAGTTTTTCAGGGGTAGTTTTGCCTTCCAACTGGTATTCTTACTTTTCGTCTCTCTTTGAAAGTCTGCTGAGCTTGTTCCCCTAGGAGAATACCTTAGGGCAGACCCATAACTTGCTGGAGGTACTGTGATATATCCTCTAATCTGTAAATGCCTTGGGATTGCTCAGGACGAAATTGTGTTGCTGAAGAGAAAGCAATGAAAATGGATAAATGACTGATATTCTTTTGCAGAAACTGGCAAAATCAGACAGTCAAGAAGAAAATATACCAAAAAATTGGACAATTCACAGTCTCTAATGGAATTTGAATTTGGTACAGCAGTCAACTGTATTGGGACTCTTTACAGTGGAAAATAGTAAATATTTGGCTGATATACTGTTATCTCCTTATCATTTATTTGTTGTTTTAGGTTGGGGAGATTAAAGCTCATGCAGCTGAGTGGAAAGCCAATGTTCGAGCGGAGTTCCGTGAAACACGGAGACGTCTAAGTGTCGAGATCCACGACAAACTCCAGCGAGCCGCCACCATCCGCAGCATGGAACGCCGTCAGCTGGGCCTCGAGCAGAGAGCTCATTCTCTTGACATACTATCACCAGAGAAACGGGCCATGTTTGCTAGTCTGGATGCTGGCCGTTTCAAGACTTCGTCTCAGGAGAGCATCGACACGAAACTAAACAACCTAAGGCTGAAGGGTGCTTGTGAGCCTTACGACCAACAAAGCAGTGAACAGCAACCACAGACAGCGTCTTCTTCGGAGGAGAATCTCTTCAACCTACGCTTCGGATCTCTCACCAAGCTGGCCAGGCGCAACAAGAACCGTGAGCTGCGCAGGAACATTCCCGAAGACGCCCGGCTGTCAATTGCGGGCATCAGCAATGGCGGGGCTATTCTAGGTGTGGAGAGGACGGAGGAAGAGGATGGGGAACCCGTTGAAGACAACAAAGAACAGAAAGAAGAAAACATCAGTCTGACAAACCTGTCACAGTATGCAATGGAGCGCACCAAGCTGAACGGGTTAACACCAACACAAGCCAAGGACAAAGAGAACGATCCGGCATCAAATGCATGAACATTTCAGCTGCTGACTGTAGAGACAGACTGAATGATTCTCAGACTGAGTCATTGGAGTGCACAGTCCTTTTGAGATGTCAAGAAATGTGCCTTTTTCTGCTTCCTGTGCTTAGGCTGGAACCACTCCCAGGACATTCAGTCATCGTGCCATAGCAATGGAAAGAAAAAATCATGTTGCCAAAAAATGAATAAAATTAAACATACAGAAGAGCCTGTTGTTTGATTACCTCATTGCATAATGTTGCTGTAAACTGGGCTACCTGTGCTGTACATCGAAGCTGTCACTCTCAGCTCTGTTGTCTTTCAGCCCTCGAGGTTCTTTTGAGACTTGGGCAATGGCCATCTGTTCACGCTGAACCTTTTTTATTTTTCCTCACAATGTCGGCACAACAGCCCGAGAGCTGGACTCATGTCGTTCATCTTCAGAGACATTATAGATCATTTTGTCATCTCATCCTGTGGTGGCTGTTTGCAGCCCATCGTCATCTGGTACTAAGGGACTTTAATGACTGCAGGGTGGAAGGTTTTGTTTTTGCTGGATCAATAAACAATGCTAGTAGTTACCTAGAAGACATGTACAAGTATTCTTACATTGTATGTGGCTTTGCATATGTAGCCTGACAGAAAGAAAACTACTGCATATTAAGATCTTATGAGAAAACAAGCTATACACATTGCATGGTTATTAAAACAATACAACCATAGCAGCAAACAAACGTAAATTAACTTTAAAAAGTCACTGCTTCAACAATGACTCCTTTTTATATATATATATATATATATAAAAAAAGAAATGTTTGGCTTTCACTCCTAGTTTTGCTCATTCACAGTAAAGCAAATGTGTATATGTAATGATTAATTGTGAATCAACACTAGCATACAAACAGTACCAGCAAATTAAAGCTGTAATGCTGTAAACATTAAAACCTTTTGTTTTCGGTCAAATCACAAACTGTCAATTTGAGTTCAGAACGTGATGCTGTTAATTTTATACTCACTAAGCATGTTTCATCTGTTGTTTTTCTATCAGACAACCACCTGTGTTTTATGTATTTTCCATTAAACTCTTAAATACAAATGAAATAAGTCTTGTTTTATTTATTGTGTAGGGAAATTACTTGGCATAATCTAAAAGTTAGATACAGCGGTGGCATATTAGAATAGAATAAATTAGAAAAGACTATTAATCTCACATTGGGTCAATTCACTTGCTACAGCAGCACGTACACTTAGAGAAAAGGAAGAAGAAGAAGATAATAATATTACAGGTAAAAACACAAACCACTAAAAACAATGAATAAAGGAAAACTTGGGCTTCCAGAACTATGCAGCATAACACAGACATATGAATGTACATCCGGTGTTGCACAACTATTAAACACATTAGAATTTGTTTTAAACTTCTTTTGATGGTGTTCAAGGCAATAAATGGGTTGGCCAATGCTTAGTCGGAGGTGTTGCAGCCACATGTTCCTGGTCAGGGACTCCTTTCTGTGAACCAGTTACTGCTCTCTGTTCCCAGAACTTGGCTGAGGACAAAAGGGGACAGGGCATTCACAGTGGAAGGTCCAAGACTGGAACGTCCTTCCCTTAACCATTCGGTTTTCCCCATCAGTAGGGTTGTTTTGAATGAGGTTAAAGACCACAGCTTTACAAGTCACAAGTAAGTCACAATTCTTTCCAGTCAAGTCTTGAGTCAAGTCCATGTCAAAGACGAGTCCAAAGTCAATGATGTAGAAGTCCAAGTTAAGTCCAAGTCATTAAGTTTGAATTTTCAAGTCATGATCAAGTCAAACTTCAAATTAATGACAATAAATTCCAGGAATAAAGCTTCTTAAAGCTTAATTTATTTGCTCAAACAAGCAGAAAGTGCAACTGAAACGGATTATAAACAGAGGGCTGCTGCATTTAGCAGTACAAGATCAAACCCAGAACGAAGAATGATTTATGAATTTTTGTCCATGTCGTGCCACTTTTGTGCTAAAATATCAAATTCAATTCAGTTCAATTCAAAAATACTTTATTAATTCCAGAGGGAAATTGATTGCTGTAGTAGCTCAGAATAATAATAATAATCAAGTCATCAAAGAGTTATTGTATGTTACAATGGCTGTTGGCAGGAAGGATGTCCAGTAGCGGTCAGTGTTGCAGCGAAACTGAAGAAGCCTCTGACTGATGACACTCTTCCGTTGTCGGACAGTCTTGTGCTCAAGTCATCATCAAGTCAACAGATGCAAGTCGATTCAAGTCGCAAGTCATTGGCGTTCCAGTCCGAGTCAAGTCGTAAGTCTTTATAGATTTTATCAAGTCAAGTCAGAAATCATTAAAATAATTGACTGTCTGACTCGAGTCCAAGTCTTGTGACTCGAGTCCACACCTCTGCTTATTTGTATGATCTGGCTTTTGGCTATGGGTTGGCGGCTGCTGCTACGTCTACATGCTTTTATGCTGCTATGTTTTTATTGTTGTTTACTGGTTTTATACGTTTTGTTTTTATTGTACAGCACTTTGGTGGCATGTTTCATGCCTGGAAGGTGCTTTATATGTAAAAGTGAGTGACTGATTATCTGATTGAACACATACTGAATATTATGTTCTTATTGTGTAACAGGATAATGCCAGTACCAGTTAAACTGAGAATTAATTTTTTGGATTAAAGATGAAATGTAATGTGAAAAGTAGAAATATTTCCTGAGAAATTTCAAAACCAGGTTACTTTATGGGCAGCTATTCATTTGAGCTGAAGTGATTTGGTTATATTTTAACAGCAGATACAACATGCCTGAAATAACTTGATTGAATCCTTCACAATAAAAGTCTTAAATAGGGATGTATTATCAGTTGATAGTGGCAGTAAAATTTAACATAGAAAATGATTGGTATCAGTTTTTATTCTTGAAATGAAATAACGTTTACATACCATGCACATATTACACATCTGACTCTTCAACTAATTCTCTTACTCAAAATGTCAAAATATGACAGATGCTAGGTATTTTTGTTTGGTTGGCGCAACTGGTCCAAATTACATAGAATTTATTCTCATAGTTTGCAGAGATAATGTTTAAATTTTAAGTTTGCATGATAGGAGAAATATGATGATAGTTACCTAGAATAATTTAGCTTTTCTTTTTTAACGAGGGAGGGACCTTGCATATATTGGAAATTAGGAGTTAGACAAAATTGGTATTTTGTCAGGATCTCGTTTACCCTTAGTTAGTTGTTTATTGGACTCACCTGCCCCTTGTTATCCTGCCCATGTGTTTCTGATTATCCTTGTGTATTTATTTCCCCTGTTTTGCACTTGACCTTTTTCAGATCATTGTTGTGTTTTCACCCTGTTACGTTGCTCCTACTGTATCATCCTACCTGCCATTATTCATTAAATGCATTATTCATTAAATATTTTACCTGAGCTCCATTTCTGCCTCCTGGTCCAGCTCCACCACACATGGGTCCACCACCATCTACACTGCACCGTGACATATTTTGGATAATGGTGAAACATCTGATATCAATCATTCCTATAGTTTCAAACATACACATGTCCTACAAACAACTGAACGTTAAAACACAAAGCACAATTCATTATTAATGTTCTCCAGTAAGCCCGTGGTGCAGTCGAATGTTATAATTTTATGAATTAAAAATAAAGTAGTGACTTAAGATTTATTAACATAATCGTGGACAGATGCAAAGTGAAAATAATGATAAATAACAACAAAAATAATACTAATGTTATTTTTCCTGTGTGTCTCTGTGTTGTCCTGCAATAGATTTGCAATCTGTCCAGGGTGTACCTCGCCTGTTTGCCCCGGAGACTGCTAGAGATGGGCAGAACATGGATGGATGGATAATAAAAATAACGATAATAATAATAGAGCATTATATAAAAATATTTAGACATTTTTCTCCTTATTTCAAATGTTATCTAAACCCTTCCTCATTATTATTATTTTCCTAGATTCCTTTCCTATTCCTTTCTGTCTGGTTTTATCTAAATATTTGACATCTTCCAAATAAATTTTACTTTTAAAAGTTCTGTACAGTTTATTTAATAAAACAAGTCGCAATGAAGTGCTTGTTTCCAGGTAATAATTGTCACAGAAGAACCGTTAATATTAGTCAAAGCAAAAATTGATATTAGGATTTAACTTTAAATAGTACAAATAAAGGAAATGCCACAAAGACTAACAAATCTTTAGGTTTAAAATGATTGCCATAGGTGGAGACGTGAGTTTGAACTGTAGCTGATTCAGAAAAAAAAGGTTGCAGGGTTGATATCTTTTTTGATCGTTCTGCATGGAGTTTGCATGCTCTGTGCTCTGAGTTTGTCTTACAGACATAAAAACCTGCATACTAAGTCTAAGATGACCAGTCAGGATGCTCCATCCTCTCTTTCAGTAACTATTGGAGACATGCACCAGCTCCCTGCAAACCTGAAAAAGATTAAGAACATTATTTCCACAAACAGGTAAAATGTTCTGAGAACTATTTCTAAATTATTCCCAAAAGCTGGGGATTAAATTTAAGTTTGGACAGGCTTGTACAGACCCTCGGATCCTCGCCATCTGGACCATCTGGACTTGCTTTTTTTTTTCATATTCTCCTTGAGCTAGCTGAAGGACACAGACAGACAGATTAGGCAGAGTGGATCTTAATGTGTGTCCTGATACAGGAGGGAAAGTTGATGAGGTTATGTTGAGGTCCAATTCTGTGGTGTCATGTGAGACTGGAGGCTGTGGGTCCATGGAGACAGTGCGGTGAAGATGGGTGCTGGAAAAAACAATCTAAAGCATCATCCTAAAACTAAATTCAGCTCATCTTTCATCAGACTCATTGAACCTTTTCTTCTCTAACCTCACATCCCACACATTGGTCCAATGGTTCTCGATCTCCTGTCTTCTCCTCGCGTTGCTCTCTGATGATCAAGAATGTCACAACAGAGAGGGAAATATGCAAAACGAAAGTTTTTCTGTCTTGTCCTCTCTTTGCTCCTTTCCACTTCAGTAATTTGACCATTAGGCTGCAGGACATGAAGCAATGCTGCATGTTCCATTGATTACAGCTGAAGACTCTGACTCCATGGTAACTAGCTTATTACTCAGGTGCAGCTCTTTTGTCGAGTTTCACAGATGGAAAAATAATCTTTTGAAAAAGTGTTGAACATGTGAACACTGAGCCACCTACTCTCGTGATTGTTGACTGAAGGTGTTCCTTAGCACTTATTTTATTACTATATATATATATATATATATATATATATATATATATATAAATAACAGTTTTTACTGTAATACTGTTTATTACTGTTTTATAGTACATCACTTTAAAGGGACACTAAGCAGTTTTGCTTGCTTTTAGCACCCCCTAGTGGCCACTATTCATTCTCTGTGGTTAAACTGAAAGTGAAACTTATCTCCTTGAGTTGTGCTTGTCTTTTTAACATCTTAATCTAACTGCAGAAATGTCTCCTTAGCCTTCATTAGTTTCTACTGGAGCGACTCATCGCTAAATCAAACATTTGCTGTGTTTATAATGTAGGAGACATGCTGGAAGCAGACTGCAGAGCCACGTATGTCATCTAAAATTTTCCCTATCAAGTGATGGCTGGCCACTCTGAAGTTGCAAGTGCGATATTCTTGCCACAGAGGGTGATGGGGTCTGAGTGATCTTTCATTCCCCTGTAGAGGGTAATTTTAGCTCATAGTTGCTCAAGAAGATGACATGAAAGTATAAAAAAGGTGCAAAGTATCTCTTTAAGCTCTAACATTTCGA